ATATATATATATATATATAATTATATATATATATATATATTCACACACATATATATATGGGGTTATACTAAAAAATATTTAGCCTTGTACATTTGATTTATTGAAAATTATTTTTTTTAAACCCAAAATGCGTCAACAAGCCATTAACGCACACAAGCTGAAAAAACAAATAAACACACCGTCAATGTTCATTACGATGTTTCGAAGGAGAGCAGTGGAGCGGTAGACGTGTTACTCTATAGTGTTACAGTTCATACACATGTTACCGGTTGTGAAATACTCTATCAAGTTTCCTAGCCTTGCAAGGAAGCCAACTGAAGGTCACGTCCGTCCCTTGAGTGTGAGGAACACAGCGTTGTCCATTAGGAGACTGAAGTACAGACTGCAGCCACTGAAACAGTAAGTCGTGTGTGTATGTTGGGATATTTCAACAGTAGGTCGTGTGTGTATGTTGGGATATTTCAACAGTAGGTCGTGTGTGTATGTTGGGATATTTCAACAGTAAGTCGTGTGTGCATGTTGGGATATTTCAACAGTAGGTCGTGTGTGTATGTTGGGATATTTCAACAGTAGGTCGTGTGTGTATGTTGGGATATTTCAACAGTAGGTCATGTGTGTATGTTGGGATATTTCAACAGTAGGCCGTGTTTGTAGGTTGGGATATTTCAACAGTAGGCCGTGTTTGTAGGTTGGGATATTTCAACAGTAGGCCGTGTTTGTAGGTTGGGATATTTCAACAGTAGGCCGTGTTTGTATGTTGGGATATTTCAACAGTAGGTCGTGTGTGTATGTTGGGATATTTCAACAGTAGGCCGTGTTTGTAGGTTGGGATATTTCAACAGTAAGTCCTGTTTGTATGTTGGGATATTTCAACAGTAAGTTGTGTTTGTCCGGAAGGAATTTCAACAGTAGGTCATGAATGGTGTTCAGAAATCCCTAGGCTAAGTCACACATCTTCCGATGACTAATTCCCTGATGGCACTAAACTGATATATCTTAACAATGAAACCAACATCATGTTCAGTTGAACAACCCTTACAGTACGATTATTTTACTCAGTTATAAACGCGTTCCGAATTTCTCTCAGCGTTTTCCTTAAGCTTTGATTTACTTCCAGCCACGCCATGGTTGTTGCTGTTAAGTCTTCTCCCCGTTATTCTCACACGCACATCATGGTTGTTGTTGTTGTTAAGTCTGCTCCCGTTGTCCCCAGACATGCCGTGTTCGGGCCGAGACTGGACATGTCGTCACAGAACCTGCTCAAATGGCTGCGCGTTTCTGGGTTTGATGTCTTCGCCGCTGACAGCAAGATACAGAAATGGTTGAGGTTGAGAGAGAAACTAAACATTGACATGATGGTGGAAACTGATCAGATTCCCAAAGTGAGTGAATCCTAACAAAAAATGTTCAGTATTTCTATTGCATTATTACCTACTTTATAATGTAACTAATATTTATACTTTCTCTACCTTGGGGTTATAGATGAAAAATAAAAAAAAAAAGGTTTGGAATAACCAGTTTTAAGTGTATTACAGACATACAATGCTACATGCTGCCCGGCCCGACCAAAATGTGGATTGAAAAAAACAAACAAAACATTACTGTTTTAAAGATCTATATTTATATCCAGTTCGAGTCACATACATCAGTTTATGCTGATGACCTATACATCATCCGAGGAAGCCATCCTTGATGTATTTGGTTTTAACATTTTAACATTTAGAAAACGTTATGCCATTCATTTGTATCATTGAAACCTTAAGACACTTGACGAAGATTTTCTTTAAAAGCTATCTTATAAAAGATCCCCCCAACCCTCCAAACCCCCCCCCCAACCAACTCACACACAAAGAAAATAAAACGTTATGCCATTCATTTGTATCATTGAAACCTTAAGACACTTGACGAAAATTTTCTTTAAAAGCTAACTTAAAAAAGATCCCCCCAACCCCCCAAACCCCCCCCCAACCAACTCACACACAAAGAAAAAATAACAAAAAAAGCAACAACAAAAAAAAACAAAAAAAAAACATTAAACAAACGAAATGACGATGATGTGAATTGAATGCAAATTAACAAAGTTCATCTATACATAAAAAAATACCATTTTTCAATGCGTTTGTTCCTACTGACATAACACCGTGGATCTGTTCGTCCTAACAGTAATTAATCCTGTTGGCGAGTTTAAACTTGTTCACTTCCGCCTTATTCAAATATTGTCTTTGTAACCAATCAGATCTTCCGCAGTGGCTATCCCGGCGGTCTGTGCGGCTTTGACCGCGAGGGGTCGGCCGTATTCTACGAGCTCTTTGGCTTGCTGGAGGTCAAGGACATCCTGAGGTCAGCCTGCAAGGACTCGTACATCAAGTTCAAGTTCTACCAGCACGACAAGATTCTCCAGTACTTAAAGGTCAGGGCTGACAATTTAATATCCCCTGACAGACCACTCAAGACGACTCTTTCGACTCTTTCTGATATTCTGCTCTCCTGTCTTGTTAATATTTCCCCAGATGATGTTATTATTTTTATAAACATATTAGTCGAGGCCCAAAGCAATGAAACAAACACGGCCATGACATTCTAAACGATGCATCGCTGCGAAAGACTGTGGGAGGGGCTATTTATCTTACATTTTTCTGTTATGGTCTGAAGAAACCTTGGAATAAAAACATAGAGTTTCGTTTAATATTCCTGCTAAATTCAGAGTGTCAGGATATTTTTTGAATACCTGGAGAGATCGTGGTTTGGTGAAATGATGGTAGAGTTTATGATATTGAAAATAAAGGTTCCCTGACCAAAAATAGAAAATTGTATTTTCATGTAAACCAAAAATAATCTGTATAAAACCTTAGGGAAAAAAAATGCCCCTTACATGCCCTTAAAATACCAGTTGCCCTTGCCATATCCCACGTATAAATAAACAACGTATTTTTTTAATGCGTTCCCCAGGAACTGAACCAGGAGATGGGTCGGCCTTTGGACACCATTCTTGTGGTGGTAGACATGCAGTTTTGCCAACAGGACAATCTGTCCACGGCAAATGGCGTCGTGATGAATGAGGTAACAAAAAAAAAAATATATATAATCTACAAACACTTTCGGGTGTTTTCCTGTGTTCATGATACGTAAATTTGACACTAAATTTAACGAAATAAGTTCTCGAAAATTGTCTTGTGTTCCGCTGATGGTACGATGGTCTTCAAATAGTTGAGAATAACATGCTCTTAAATCCATGATAAGAGTTCAGATCCTAGCAGTCCCACCCATTTTGTTTGATCATTTGCTTAAAGCAGCATCACGCTATTAGATTAGCAAAGTATCGTTGCCGGAGAGATATTGAAAGTCAGCAGGGCAATGGCTGTGCTCTGAGCTGATTTTAAAATAAATATTTATACCAGCCCCCATTCAGAAATGCTTAGTGTTTCTACTTGGATAGTCTGATAAGCCCGTGCTTATAAGAAAATAGTTTTGTTTTCCCAGCAACAGTTCAAGGTTGATTTACATAGTAAAAATAATAATGAATTAGCAAGACTTTAAAAACCAATAACTTACTGTTTGGCATTATAGTATAACATTATTTTACTTCTTGGCATCGGGTATGCCATAATAACTCCCTAAATAACAGATGACATAGGCACGTTTTGTCATAATAAGTAGTGAACAAATAATGAAAAAGTAAGTGCTTTCAATAGTAATGATTTTTTAAAAATATGACACATCCCATGTTGTTAATAATTTAATATATACCTTTGTCTTAAAGTGTTGCTAATTTAACATATATCCTGCTCTAATTAATAAAATATTATATTCATGTGCCATATCGGTCATAATTTAACATAACCACTGTCTCATATCATACATAATTTAACATATACCCCTATCACCTATCCTACATAATTTAACACATAACACTGGCTATACCATTATTTCCTTAATTATCATCTCCATTTTACCCTCCTGAACAGCTGTTCCAGCTCCTGATTGACAACTACCCTACACTTATCAAGGAGGTCGTCTGCCTTAACGTGCCGGACAACTCAGACCAGCTGTCACAGTCCTTCACCAGAAGAGACATGGTGACACTTCTGGGCAGGAACTCTATCAAGTAATTGTTTAGCTAAACACGTGTAGCCGTAACCCCGAAAAGTAATGTGTAGCAAAGTAATCGGTTCTACAACAATCTAGTGTGGCAATGTTATTGACAAAAATTTTGCTATCAAGCGACACAAACTCCAGCGTGAGTCTCAGAAAGACTATCATGCCACACAAACTCCAGCGTGAGTCTCAGAAGGACTATCATGCGACACAAACTCCAGCGTGAGTCTCAGAAGAACTATCATGCGACACAAACTCCAGCGTGAGTCTCAGAAGAACTATCACGCGACACAAACTCCAGCGTGAGTCTTAGAAGGAATATCTGGTAGTTGTGGCAATGAATGACTTAGATTTAAGTCAAAGTTATAATTTCCAGCAAATCTGTTTTAACAAAACAGAAAACCAGATGAATAGCTACTAAAGACATCTACTGATGACAACTACTGAAAACAGCTACTGAAGACATCTACTGAAGAGTGCTTAACTAAATGGTTTTAATAGAGGGCTGCTACTGAAAACAGCTACTAAAGACAGCTACTGAAAACATCTACTAAAGAGAGCTTAACTTAATGGTTTTAATATTTGGCTGCTACTGAAGACAGCAACTGAAGACATCTACTGAAGACAGCTACTGAAGAGAGCTTAACTAAATGGTTTTAATAGAGGGCTGCTACTGAAGACAGCTATTGAAGACAGCTACTGAAGACATCTACTGAAGAGAGCTTAACTAAATGGTTTAATAGAGGGCTGCTACTGAAGACAGCAGCTGAAGACAACTACTGAAGACAGCTACTGAATAGAGCTTAACTAGATGGTTCTAATAGAGGACTGCTGCACAAAGGATTTGCTGATGCTATCTTAGTTGTTGACAAAAATGTGGTCTTAACAAGCCGACCAAGTTTTGGTTATGCCCCCGCCCCCACCCTCCCTCTGAAAAAACCTGAAATGACGCCCCTGCTTTAAACTGTCTTGAGTAAGGTATTTACAATTTTAAACCTATCTATTTTATTAGTTTATTTATTATTGTTATTATTTAGTTTATAAATTTGGTTTTAAAAACGAATTATTGTTCAAGGAATTATTGCTAAGACATTAAAAGAATCAATGCCGTTTTCTTTTAAGACCTCGATCCTAATGTTCACGCTGTAAGAGCGCATCAGCAGACTCCATCCAATTTAACCTATAATTATCCAACTCAGAGGTCAGTCTTAAATTAGAACCACTGTTATCTCTGCAGATAAATTTGAACACATTTTTGTTTAACTTTTTTTGGGACTTTGCAGAGAATTACGTAAGAGAATAGCTCTAACAGAACTTCCTGTTTACCTGGGAGGTAAGAAACCGGCTGATGGATCCAGGCCGTTTGTCACACTAAACATTGACTGGAGCATTAAGGTAATCACGATTGTTACCTTTGTAGAGTAACACGGTAAATAAACTGAGAGGATCGACGTTTAAAAAATAAACTTCTCTTCCAGACTAGACACTGCCTTACGAAGCGACGTGTGTTTTTATAAATTACTTTCTATACTTATTTTACTACAGTTTGGAGATATCGTCAACAATTTGATAGAATGTTTGTCTAAGTGCAAACTTGGTTTGTAACGTTTCAAATTGCTTTACAAAAATCGGATAACAGCATCATAACAAAAACTTAAAAAAACAACAAACAAGAACTGTGCTGTTCGGGTCAAAGGTGAAAGTTGAAATTTATTCAAAAAATATCTTAAAACAGGGAAGAGTAGGGGAAGTGGGGAATGCACGAAAGATCATTATTAAAGTAACATTTTTAACAATTCCATTATAACACTCGCTATACACAGGTTCAAATGCATGTTACTTACACCCATCTATTCAAATGCCGTGCAGGTTACAAGACGTTAACTTACACTTACACATGTATCGCTATATTACTGATAGAATCCAATAAAAATTCATAGCCAATGCATGCGTATCGTTGCATAACTGTTAGTTTCCTATAAACATTGTGAGCAATCACTGATATGATCTTGATATGATCTAACGATCTGGTGCTCTAACCCTACTAACAGGTTCCACATCTGATTCTGAGCTCTAAAGAGTCTGAGGCCTCCGAGCAGCACACCATAGGACCGGGAGTCAGAAGGGTTGAAGAGTGCTACGTGTCCGCCCCTGGAAGCGTCATGTCGTGGATACTGCGTGACGTCAGTTCACCGGTTCAACTCTACATCTACCACAGCTCCTTGGCGCAGAAGAACATAGTCTCAAAACCCGTCGGGTAGGCTGGGCTTGGAGAGAGAGAGTATTCGAGAGCCTTAGAGGTGCAGAAACATACATGGCCACATTGGAAGCCCTTTCTTGAAAGGGGAAAACATTTATGTCCCTGCGTATTTGGCTAATTTCAGACACATTTAGTTTCAGACACATTGAGTTTAAGACACATTTATCACTTAGTTTGAGACACATTAAGTTTGATACACATTTAGCAGTTAGTTTGAGAGACATTTACTTTGAGAGACATTTAGTTGGCGAGACATTTAGTTTGAGAGACATTTAGTTTGAGAGACATTTAGTTTGAGAGACATTTAGCAGTTAGTTTGAGAAACATTTAGCTTGAGAGACGTTTAGTTTGAGAGCCATTTAGTTTGAGAGACATTTCGCAGTTAGTTTGAGAGACATTTAGTTTGAGAGACATTTAGTCTGAGAGACATTTAGTTTGCGAGACATTTAGTTTGAGAGACATTTAGTCCCAGAGACATTTAGTTTGAGAGACATTTAGTTTGAGAGACATTTAGTCTGTGAGACATTTAGTTTGAGAGACATTTAGTTTGAGAGACAATTAGTTTGAGAGACATTCAGTTTGAGAGACATTCAGTTTGAGAGACATTGAGTTTGAGAGACATTTAGTTTGAGAGACATTTAGTTTGAGAGACATTTAGTTTGAGAGACATTTAGTTTGAGACATATAAAATATAAACACAACACATTTTAACGCCCATCTACCATCCCATCATTTTTTCTAAACACACTCAGTTTACCCGATGTCCTATCTGGTATCGTAGACTGCAGTGTTACCGGCAGGTACCTGGTCGTGCTGGACAACACGCCCAACCTGTACACGCGGGTCAGTTACAGGATGTCTGTAACGGTTACACCGCCAGACACGTACATGGCACAGCTGGCACCGATGATACCACTAGGTGAGCACCCATGATATTACTAGGTGAGAAC